GCAATCTTATTTTTCTTTAACAAAATTTTAACCATTATCAATAAATACTGAATGGCATAGCGTAGTATTGTAAGGCTCTAGTAGTTGAAAGTCTTCTTTGTTTGTTAGTCTGTCTGCATATGGTAGTTCAAGACTGGACTTCAGAAGTTTTTTGCACTCTTGTTTAACCAGTATAGTTTTGGTAGCTTTCTATGGCCTGTTCTTTATGGACCAGGTTCTATTTATTAGAACTTGTCTATAGTTTTGGCCTTCAACAAATGTTTGAATTATAATAAGAAGAAAAAATAAGATTGTTTAAATTTTAACATTTTACTTGAATTAATTTATCAAGTATATAGAAATGTATTATATTTCAACTAATTATAACTACACTTACATAAATAAATGAGATTCAAATGTTTGCATTAGCAATTTACAGAAAAATCAATTCTTACAATGAGGGACAATATTTGATTATCTTCCCTTGATAGAAACCAAGGTTAACCAAAATGTAAGTAGGTCCAAATATTTGGAATCCTTTGGTTTTATCGTTGAGTTTTATGTAAGACAGGTTGATATGTTTTAATCAATTATTTCCACATGCATCAACAAATATGTAAACAATAAGAAAAAAATGTTTCATTTATGTCAACAGATTCTACATCTTATCGCAATATTTAATCTGAATATTACAAATGATAATAATTAGCCCTAATTAATTCAGTTTGCTACAAAGAAATAGGCGATAAAGTCCGAGTAATCCAATTGCTTAGGACCTATCTATTTATAGGGAGTACTCAGGGGAGGTTATTCACTAATGTCCCCCATTGCTATTACTTCGTTAAAAATGCACGAGATAATACGGTATCCAGAAAATACACGAGTCTTTAATTTAGGACTGATAGATTCGCCGAATTGAGATACCAGTTGAACAAAGTATAAAATAGATCTATATCAATCTGGAAACAAAGTGATCTTCGGAAGCATTAATCACAACAAAATTACAAGAGAATTGCAGACTCAGTTTGATTGAGTCTGTACATGAGGGATAATGATTACGTGCAACATCCCTCACGCCCCCTAGCACCGGTTTGAGCGGTACTCAATTCTCAACACTTAATAGTGGTGGCATCAATGATCCCGAAGGACCAGACAAAATATAACAACACTGAAGTGAAGAACGGGGCAACTTTTTACAGCTGCCACACAGCACTTGACACCTGCTGTTGTGAAGTATAAAAATCTGGAAACAAAGTGATCCCTCGGAAGCATTAATCACAACAAAATTACAAGAGAATTGCAGACTTGGTTTGATTGAGTCTGTACATGAGGGATAATGAATACGTGCAACATTCCTCACGCCCCCTAGCACCGGTTTGAGCGGTACTCAATTCTCAACACTTAATAGTGCTGGCATCAATGATCCCGAAGGACCAGAAAAATATAACAACACTGAAGTGAAGTACGGGGCAACTTTTTACAGCTGCCACTAATAAGTACTAATTCTGTGTTATATTATTAACAAGAATGAAAAAATACACTCTAAATAATGTGTAAATTTGACTTTTCTGAACAATTTAGAATGACTATTGTAAAGTTATCACTTGAAAATTATTTATCTTCAAAAATCTACGGAACTTTTGGCGAAACGCCCGTAAGTTCGGAAGTCCTGTTATATAAAAAATATTTAAATAATCTCCTTAGTTTTAACATTATATAGATTACACTCATAAATATAGAGTAATGAACACCGTAAGTAAAGACTCTTAATAATGAAATACTTTTGCATCACAAATTGATTCAAATCTTAATATATCTGCATGTCTAAATTTAAAAAAAAATTTAACCTTCATCATAAAATTTATCTCACAGTTTACGTTAATTAGAAGTACATGCATTACAAATTGATTTCTGTTATTTTTCTTCTTGTTCACTACGGATTTCAGTGTCGGAAAGTTCCCCTTGTCATCTGTGCGGAGCCTCTTCTCTGGTATTGTGGTGCTCTCATCACATCTGTACCTCTGTTGATCTTCAATGTACCTCTCAGTTGACCTTGAGTGGATTCTGAGGGATTCGGCCATGGATTCCAGGGTCTGCCCTAAGTGGCGAGTAGCTCTTGTATTTGAGTCCATGGCAAAAATAACCTTGCCCAACGATACATGGAGTTATTCTCAGGGATCAATAATTCAGTGGGCTTAAATTGATTTTCCCTCAAGTGGTTTGGTTGTGTTTCCTCTCACAGGGGGTCTTAAAAACGGGGTTCTCTGTACGGACAATGCCCCGCCCTAAGAAAAATTCACGCAGTTCTTACCCAATATTTGGGTCTTCAAGTTCTTCTCCTTTTGGCCTAGTTGACCTAAATGTGGGGTTATCCTTATTACGCAGCACTTGGGGATTTATAGGAGGGGTCCACTTCGCAAAAAAAAAGAGAAAATTCTGCGGCGGGGACTACCACTACCCCTTGCCCTTTCACTTTAGACTGTTTAAAATATATTTTTAAATTTCGGAAATTTTTTTCGTTCATTAAATTTTCTTCTATTTCCTTGAATATTTTTTGCAAAAAATTTCATATTTTTCAAAATGTGCTATTTTCCCCTAATACCCCTACATTTTTTTCCATTTTTTTTCCATTTTTTTCCCCAATTCGCATCTGAAAAGTTTTGATTTTGTAGAGAACGGATCAGACCTCCCTTTGGAAAGTTGCCCATAATACAATAAATATAGACTCCATTTTAATCAAATATTGATGCTCTTCAATACATCCGCCTTTTTATCAAATTGTCTTCTTCGCATTCTCAATAACAAATCATAAGGTTTCAGTTCCCCGGTTGGAATTTTTATCTGCAACCTTATATTCTTTTTCAGTTGCTTACTATTATTTTACTATTTTTTCGACAAGGTATTTATATACCACTAAAGACTATCACATTTCGACTTAACAGTAAATCTGCAGGGCCTTTCTCGTCTTCAACAAAGACATCAGAGCGTCGTCTTCAATATCCGCGAATATTATCTCTCTTACTATATTCAGTTCCCTAGTTTAATATTAAAAAGGGTCTTTTCCTATCTCCCCTTTTGACTCCCGGGCGCTGTAAGAAGGTTTTACCTTCAAATTAAACGCTCGTCAACATTCATCGTCATACACCCAGATGACAAATGGTCTTTTTACCCCTGTTCCGCGAAACACCCAAAGGGTTTTTACCAAAATGGCCCTCTATATACACACCCTTCCCCCTAAGCTCAAAGTGTTATTCAGATATGTCTCCATTTACGAGCGGTATATTTGGGCCAATTATGTTATGGGGGTTTTTTCTAATATTGGGTCCTGCTTTGGGCCCTAAGTTTTAAAATTTTCATGGGGTACATTGCATGTCTTGCCACTAATGGCTGGAATTTCTTTCTTTCTAAGACCCGGGAAAAGTGTCCCTGTGCATGACAATTGAAACATTCAAATATACGTTTACCCCTTTTGTGATTTTTCCCTCTTACATTTTGCGCAAAGATAGCCTTTTTGAGCTGTTTCATACGCTGTAATAGATCCTGCATAAATTAAGTTTGGTCACTTACGACACAACACCTTTCATTTTTGAAGTATTTATTAACATGTTCTTTCTATCTGGAGTATAACCTGATTGTGTATTATGTATCGGAGTTTCATTGTTTTCTTCATCAGTTGTCTGAGCTCTTCTTGTGAAGTTCCTCCTTTCAAACTTTGCAAATTTTCTTGTTTGGATAAGGTTAACAACATGGAAAACAGCCTCATCTATTTTTCTTGGATCTTTGTGATATTCAACCTCGAATCGAATATCTTCAATATCTTCATCAAAGAGGCCATCGAGAAACCTGCGCACAAGATCTTCATCACGGGTTTGCCTGTTCCTATACCCATGGGCTTTATTGTATAACCGTTTCCGATCAGCGGTAAAATCTTCGGCAGTCTCTCCATGTTTTGAGTCCTTTTGCTGAAATTTGCAGCAAAAGAGCGAGCTGCTTCTATTTTCTCGTATCTTCAGTTAAATTTAAAAATACTTTCTTCATAATCTCGTAAGAACATGACGGGCAAGTTGAGTGAATACAAATTAAAATGCTTCACCTTCTAGTCTAGGCAATAATTGGTCCAATTTATCATCGGTGCTCCATGCGTATCTCTCTGCTATTGTTTCAAACCTTGATATCCAACTAGGCCAATCTTCCTTTCCATAGAAAGATGGTATCTTAATATGACTTTCTTGGCGAGCAGGATTATAAAAAGGGCTACTTGCATTATAATGCATGTTGACTCACATTCGAGTCATACCGAAATTCATTAGATGTGTGCGTATTTTGAGAGTTTGGCATCTGAAAATAATTTTGTGGTGTTCTATCCATGGGCAGTTTGACCTTGTTCCTCGATTTTTGAATTAAAGACTTGATGTAGAATCGAATTTTGATATCGGCTGACCCACTTTTGATATTATTTGACCTCCTTTTTTTGACGTATATACTTGAAATTTAGACCATGTGCCAAAATGATTTTGATATCAGCTGACCTATTTTACACATTATTGACATCATTTGACTTCCTTTCTTGCTCTTTGACGTACAGACATGAACATGAACTTCTGCTCAAGGGTGAACATATTTCTGATGCCGAGTTGAATTCTGATATTCTGATATACTTTTGATATTTTGAATATCATGTGACATTCTTTCTTGCATTCTTTTTCGTTTTATGAAATTTGGAACGGGGGTGCAATTTTTTTATGCTGAATTGAATTCTTTTTATATCGCTTGACCTACAATGAAATGATGGATCAGGTGAGCGATCTAGGGCCACCATATCCCACTGGTTTTTTTTATTTAGAAGATAATCATGACATTTGAGAAAATGTTACATTTTTATATATAATAATATTTCCGTTTTCTTTTTTGTGTTGATTGACATGTTTATACTATATATATTCTTTTAATATGGTATAGCTCATATTGTCATGTATTTGCTTGTATTGAATTTTTAAATAAACTTTGAAACTTTAAATTAGGTGACTCATATCGATGCGTTAATGAATATACACCGCTAGATGTTGAACTTCGTCAAGACGAAGAGATTGGATTATCATCAATCATGCAGGAAACTGGTGAGATTAATCTATTTACACCGAATTTATTTATAAAAAATTAAAAAGGAAAGCATAATTAATTAAACTCTTTGACAATTGAAAAACTCTTTTCTATAGTAAATGTAAATTGAATGTATAAGGCATCTTTCTTTAACGTAAACACGTCTTAATTCTTAATTAACGTAAAGGAGTTTAGGAAAGGAGTTTTACGAGTTGAATTTCTCGGACATTTTGGTTGCTCTGTAATATTGATTGTTCTGTAAACCATGCCCCTGCGATAAATTATTTTACACTGCTTAAACAATTTTCTTTATAATATCTAGTGAATAGTTTATTCTACATAAGAATTTTCTGTGTTATGAATTGCATTCTTAAAAGTTTTATGCAAAAAAAAAACAAGACGTTCAGGAACACTCTTGTGCATAAGTCACCAAAAATTCCGAAGGTTTCTGATACTCTCAGTACATTATGATCAGTAAATGGTCCTGATATTATATCATTATTGATGCGTTAAATTGATATGAATTTCATATTCTCCATACATTTTTTTTCTGCTCAATGACTAGAAAACTATTTGACCCATAGCCTTCAGACTTCATAGGATTCTCAATCTCATTGAGTAGAAGACTCCGATTGTTGGAGGGCGCCGAGTGAAATAAAGTGTCTGTACAATGAAAACAGAATACGCAACGCTATCATGTAGATGTCCAAATATATTAATATCTGTTTTTTGTTTAATGAAATAATCGTGACATTTGAGAAAAGGTAACATTTTATACATTATATTCTCTCCCTGTTCTTTTTTATGTTGTTTTACATGTTTATACTATATAAATTCTGTTTTACATGATATATCTCAAATTGTCATGTGTTGCATGAGTTTTTGAAATAAATTTTTATACTTAAATAGATGACTCTTCTCGATGCGAAATTGAGAATACACCACTGCTAGCTGTCCGATGCGAAATTAAGAATACAACGCCGCTAGATGTGGAACTAAATAAAGACGAAAGGATTGGAGTATCATCGCTAGCGGAACCTGGTTAGATTAATCTATTTACAGCGAATTAATTGATAAAAATTTAAAAAGGAATGCATAATCAATTGAACTCTTTGGTACTGTAAAAAAAACTCGTTTCTATTGTAAATGTATAAGGCATCTTTCCAAAACGTTTTTGTTTGTTTCTTTGGATTTTTACGGCACGTCAACACATAACTGGCCATATCGTGCTGAATGCTCTAATAGGCTTAAAATGTTATGTAAAACTTTGTAAATGACAATGAAAAATGAGCCATTTAGATCCTAGAATACAAGTCTATCTCTTTTAAATAATCAATGATGTTTTTAATGGAATTGTATTAAAGAGTTCTTTGAGTGAATTTACACAATAAAATCTATTACGGGCCTGTTAAAAAACCATGACATTCAAGAAGAAAATGCTTTTCTAAAACGTATACACGAGTTAATTTTTCAATTATCTAAAAGGGGTTTAGGAGAGGATTTGTACTAGTTAAATTTCTCGGACTTTGGGTTGTTCTGTAATTTGGGTTTTTCTTTAAACCATGCTCCCTGTGATGGAATAGTTTAAAAATTTTCATATGATATCTAGTGAAAAGTTAATTCTACATAAGGTTTTTTCACTGTTATAAATTGCATTAAGATTGTTTTCCTTGATTGGTTAAGAATATAACTTTAGAAACCAACTCAAATGCAAATAATAAAGGTTATAAAACATTGTTTATGTTTTCTTTTGTTGAAAAAGTATAGTTATTCATTTACTTTCTTTTCTGCATATAATCATGCTATGGATGAGGAGCGAAATGGGAAAGTCTGAAAAATAAAATTTCAGGTCCTGTTCAGTCCTATAATTTTTTGAGAGTTTGGACTTCATTATAAATATATGGCTTAACAATGAAGTTCTATTATTGCAATACTTAAGAAGTACCCTTAAACGATGAAATGTAGAAAACATACGGTATCACGATGTTTACAAATTGGTAATTATTATCTTTTGAAAAAAAAGCTCTGATGAATAAAATGTAAAATGGTTGTTAAGTTATTAGGGTTGTCAAATTGCGCATGGGAATAACCTATAATTATATGAGTAATAGACAGAATTCTTCAAAATCAAAGCATTTTGAGTATTGACACTTCTGCCTATTTATCCGAATGGCTATTACGCGATTTTTTTACTAATTTAAAAGCATACTTAAATTGCATAAAATAGTTAATAAATGTGTAAATGTGTGGAACATAAAACAGTCCACAGAGTGAAGCTATTCATTTCTTTTGTGTACAATTTTCATTTTTTGTCCGTGTTCTTTTAAAATGCATTTTGGGTAAGCCTATCATTCGTCAGTTGGAAACGTTTTTGTAAGAATTTCACCTAACTTCTTCTCCAAATTGTAAGTATAAGTAATATATTTTACATATTTACTTTGGATTGTCATGGATCAAAAAACTGTGTAACTTGATTATCTTTAGTTTAGGGAGGCAATTGTTAATCAATTCAGAGGTTTGCAAATAAAGTCAGAATTTTGGTCGGCATGGGTTTTAAACTTTTTCAATGGTTTTCATTTAATGGAAACCATGATTTTCATTTCATCACACTATATATAGAGTATGAGATGAAAGGTAGTTACAGTTTTCATTCACTGGAGCAGTAAAAAGATGCACAAACCAGTTTTTATGTTTGGTAATGTTTTTGTTTTCTCCTGTTATATAAACCATACTCATGTGATCTTCAAACGCTTTAAAATAATTTTCATGTCTACATATTTATAAAAAACCTTTTTTTGAAAACCTCAAAATGTTTTACAGATCAAATCACTGGATACATTAATATCTGCAGTAAATCCAGAGAAGTAAATATGCAAGATTCATCAAAGTTCAGTGATGAGTCAACAGGTAAAGCTTTAGATACAACCTTCATTGTTTTGAAGTGCACTTCTTAATATTATATTGAAAGATTTCTCAGACTTAAATATGAATATATGATTTGACATTGAAGTTCTATTTATCAACAAAACTAAGAAATACCCATAAACGATAAATTGTACAAAACATATTATATCACGATGTTTACACATTGGTAATTATCTTTGAAAAGAAATTTTGTATGAATGAAATGTAAAATTAAAGTTAAATCCAGGCATTTTGAGTTATGTCACTACTGCAAACTCAAGGCATTTTGAGTAACGACATTATTTCAAAATCAACTCACTTTCAGTAACGACAGTAAAGCCTTTTTATCCAAATTTCTATTATTCTATTATTTTTTGTTGGTTTGGCAACTTACTTAAGCTTCTGTGCATACATTAGTAGAAAATATGTATTAATTTATATAAAAAAAACACACATTTTATATGTACTATCCTTTTTTCAGATCAAAACATTAATTACGAATCAGATGATGACAATGAAACAACACCATTAAACCCAAAGGAAACTGAAAGGCAAATTGCTGTGGTATATCCATATGATGAAGCAAAGAGCATTGGTTTGTCAAATATTAATATATTTTGTTATATCTGTTGAAATGTATAATGTACTCATTTTTGTATGGCATCCTTTGTGATAGCATTCCACTGTGGCTGATGAACGCCATGTCGCATTCATGAAATTGCTAATATTACTAGGAGATCACTAACTGTTTTCGTTCCTTTGTAGTTCAAGGTCAAGGTCCTGTTTGGAGTGAAATCATCGAATTTTCGGCTCTGTAAAAATCTTTAAAAAATGTGGTTCTTTGGGATTTTTTATCAAACTGATTTGCAAATAGACAACGTATTTCATAATATATTTTAACACTCTCTGAAAATCAAATGTCAAGAAGTCGATGTAAAAAATCCATACTTACACTGTACCAGATCAAGGTTCACGTCACCTTTGAAGGTCAACTGTCAGACAATTTTGTGTACACTCTATAAATTTTATTATCTTAAAGGTTTTCACTTCAAATTTGGCTCTGACCAATATGTTAGCAAAACATATGCTGCCGCTGTGCCGGCTTCTGGTCAAAACTACTATTGAATGTCTATTGAAACTTCCGTGGTTTGTGTTATAAACCCTTTACCAAATAAGAGAATTTTATCAAACTTGGCTCAACTGTTCATGTCAACAAGCTGCAGAACCTATGCCTCCGCTATGCTCGCTCAAATTTCACACTTTATCGTGTCATCTCTATAAATAATATAGCCATTGAAGCATTCCTCAAATGCTAGCTAATGATCACTATTATAGATCGGATATAAGACAATTTCGTGTCCATTCTATAAATCCTATACCCCTTGAAGTATTTTCTTCACACTTGGCCAAAATATTCACCTAAACATGGCTAGCTTGTGATCATAATTACAGACCGGATATCAAACAATTTTGTGCCCATTCTATTTATCTTGGCGTATTTCCCTTAAACTGGACTCAAATGTTCACCTTTTTAAATGATTATAAATGGGCTGTCATATATGGTGGCATATTTCTGCCACCAGATAACCTGATAACAAACTAGTTAATTAAGAGGTTAACTAGTTACGTAACTAGTTAATTTTTTCAATAAAGAAAAGATCATAACGGGAAATAAATGCATGTTAGTGCCTGCAACTGCCATCCTTTTATTATATCATCATCTTAAAATTAAGAGGTTAACTAGTTACGTAACTAGTTAATCTCTTAATTAACTAGTAAATTATCAGGTTAACTAGTTACGAAAATACCTTACTAGTTAACCTGATAAATAACTAGTTAATTAAGAGGTTAACTAGTTACATAAAAACGTAACTAGTTAACCTGATAAATAACTAGTTAGTTAAGAGGTTAACTAGTTACGCAAATACCTAACTAGTTAACCTGATAAATAACTAGTTAATTAAGAGGTTAACTAGTTACGTTTTTACTAGTTACGTAACTAGTTAACCTGATAATTAACTAGTTAAGTATTAGGTTAACTAGTTAGGTATTTTCGTAACTAGTTAACCTGATAATTAACTAGTTAATTAAGAGGTTAACTAGTTACATAAAAACGTAACTAGTTAACCTGATAAATAACTAGTTAGTTAAGAGGTTAACTAGTTACGCAAATACCTAACTAGTTAACCTGATAAATAACTAGTTAATTAAGAGGTTAACTAGTTACGTTTTTACGTAACTAGTTAACCTCTTAACTAACTAGTTATTTTCAGGTTAACTAGTTTACGTAACTAGTTAACCTGATAATTAACTAGTTAAGTATTAGGTTAACTAGTTAGGTATTTTCGTAACTAGTTAACCTGATAATTAACTAGTTTATTAAGAGGTTAACTAGTTAAGTATTTATTTAACTAGTTAACCTATTAATTAACTAGTTAATTATCAGGTTAACTAGTTACGTAACTAGTTAACCTCTTAATATTAAGCTGACAATAAGGGATGGCAGTTTGCAGGCACTAACATGCATTTTTTTCCCGTTATGATCTTTTCTTTATTGAAAAAATTAACTAGTTACGTAACTAGTTAACCTGATAATTAACTAGTTAATTGAGAGGTTAACTAGTTACGTAACTAGTTAACCTCTTAATTAACTAGTTAATTATCAGGTTATCTGGTGGCAGAAATATGCCACCATAGTCATAAAAGCCTATGTAATGGAGAATGAGTGATGATTAGAGTATCGTCTTTCTTGCGGAAGCTCCCGTTTAAGTTGGTCCACCAATTAATCCTTATAATTTGATTCATGCTGTATTTAAGGTCGCAAAGAGGTTGGACACATAGATGACAGATTACAACAAATAACAAAGGAAAGTCTTCAGGTAACTGGAGACTATGAGAATACAGAGGGTAAATAATTAAAATTATTTCTAAACATAGACCTTTTAGTACTTTTGTCTCTAATTATGTTTGAAACAGGAAAAAACGTAATAAAATTTGTACAAAATGTAAATGAAAATAAAATAGTGACAACGAATTCACATCCCCTAATTTCATTTATACATAGAACACAAACATTTCTGATGCATATTTTTAAAGGGCTTACTTGTTTTAATGAAAACATTTAGGTCAATTGTTAGTGTTGTTAAAAGTCATTTGTCAATGTCAATGTCGAATTGCGTGAATAAATACGTAACGTTAATTTTTTATTTCTCTAACGAAAAAAATTATGTTTTCTTTTTTTTATGTAGCACGGGGATCAGAATTCAAAATCAAAGAAAACCAGTTATGTCACAGATCAGGGGACCAATCATTATCTTCCATGGATCTAGATAAGGGTTTATGACCAATAACTTTTACTGAAAACTTAGTTCTAAAAACTCAACCGAACTTATTGATTAAAGTATTTGAGACGCACAAATAATATTTTATTTAAAAAATATTTGCCACAGCGTTTACTATTATGATATCAATAGACTCATCAGACAAATATTAGAGTCTACAGACTTTCAACATTTTCCTCCCGAAGGAAGGCATAAGATATTTTTGGCATAAGATATTTTTGATCGTCTGTCCGTCTGTCCTCCTCTTCTGGTTCATGACGCAATTATTCGTTCCTTAGTAGGTTGTAGGTCAAACCAACCCAGATTTGTCTGGGCAACATCTTTGTCATTTCTAAATGAATTGTAAAATAATTTGCCAAATATGTTTTTAAAAGATGCCATAGTGCCCCATGTAATATCAAGAATGGTACCTCAAAATCATGGAAACAATTAACTTCTGTAAAAATACATTGTTGTTCCAGTTGACCCGTTTGCCATACATGTATTGATTAAGGTTGGCATAATACATGTGTGCAACATTAAGAAGTCATGTCACTCCAAAGAGCCTAGCCAGTGTCTCGAAGGTCAAGGCAACACTTGAGTACCAAAAGTTATTAACAATATGTGAAAAAAAAATTTAAACGTTTCTTAAATTTGCACGGTTGGTTATGTTAATGGCATTGCAGTTTGAAATTTAAAATAGTTTGGCATACATTTGAGGATTACTGAGGCTACATGGTATGTATCGCACAAGAGTCATTTAAGGTCATAACTGCATGTCAAAAGTCATGATATGATAGAGCATTGTATATAGGTCATGTCCAGTCCTTTTCACCCATCTTTATATGTTAAAAACGTGTCTTTTCATCTTTTCTGGCATTGATGGATGGTTTTAGAAATAACTAGACATGTACGTAAACTTTTGGCACATAAGAACGACCTGTCCGCCTATAGAACTTGGTCGACAGATAGAAAGTTCGAGGTTAAACTTATACGGGGAATGGCTGCAGATAACATGCGTATTTGCGTTATTACCCAATTAAAATGTCTAAAAACCCAATAGAAATAATAACTAAGGGTAAGAAAAAGTAAATGAATTCTTATTTATACAAACTACATTTGAACTGGTGCGTAATGACGAAAATTATTACTTAACGCGTACATCAGGCAGATCATACTGTTTCAAACTGTTTTAACCTTTAATTTCTAAAGGCAACTTGGAAATCTCCTAGGCCAATAAACCATAAAGCAAAGTAGTAAGTAGCTTTTTATAACTGTACAAAACCTACAAATGTCTACAATGAAGGTCAAAAATTTTGGGTAAAATGCATGAACTTGTACTTTATAACCCAAATTGGTTAGAGGGGGTAGGGTAAAAAATACAGAAAGAACTCAAAGAAAATAGAAAAACCCAATAGATCACAAAATAAGGGGTAATTACCCAATATACACAAAATGTTATCTGTAGCCCTGGGGGATGATCAAGAAATATAAGGAATTAAGTCATACATTCAATAAGATTTATCAAAATTTCATTGTAAAAACACTGTATAATACGTAAGATGTTCCTTTTTACAAGAGAAAAGAAATACAACAATTAAACGCATTAAGGCCAACATAATAAACAAACTTTAAGGCAAACATTTTCAATGCTATTTTAATATATTTTAAACTCTATTTATCGTTTCAAATACATGTAATATGATGTGACATTTGTGAAGTTTTCTTTATTTGAATGTTATTTAATTTATCTTTAATTTTCAGGTACTTCCGAATTGCAAATAAACTGGATAAAGGTTTTCTTACAATTATCAAGATCTTTTCCTGCATCAAAGTGGAAATTATTTGCAATTGATTTACTCAGTAAGCCAGTATAATTAAAGTTTATTTTAAAATTCGCTTCAGCAAAAACTCACGCTTTAGTAACGTATGTAAATCAGTTTTATGAAACATTGAAACATTATTTTACTCATCATACCGTTAAATTGTTTAAAAGTTTTGAGTTGAGGAGACATAGAAAAGAGTAAAAAAAGATCTTAGAGTTGTTCGTGCTGCAATATAGTTTTACGAAATATAATTGATATTGAAATATGTATTACATTGTCTCTAGGCAATTGCCAGCAGATGGCGAAAAGCGTTCATGATACAGTTGATGAAATTGAGCTAGAAGCAAAGAATCAGCATACAGAAAGTTGTTTTATTCACGCGTACATAAAAGTATTCAATAAATGGCTTGACAATTTGGGCAGGACAAATGCAACGTTTGAACATATAAAAGATGCTGTTTCTGCGACAATAGAGGCAAAGGAAGCTTTAGAACTAGTTCTTTCTATCGAAAGGTTTGATTTGATTGGTTTGATCGTACATCAAAGTGAAAAATATGAATTAGCGCAAAAAGTTTGGGAGTTATTATACTTTTAACCTCCTCAAAAATATTTTCATGGAAGTGTTTTATTTCTGACCATTCGTGAGAATGACGATCTGACTAACTTATTGATTGCGATTTTTGTGTTTCTTCGACATCTTAATGTAACAACATTTTAGTACATAAGTGATGTTGCAATGGACTTTCTTGCAGAATGAATCATTGATTCCTTTACAATGGTTTTAGTATAAAGAAATATTTGTAAGATTTAAATATGCATATACTATTTATATTTATTTTTCTTTTAAGGAAACCCCCATTGAAAGGGACAACACCAATGCCTTTAGTCCCGTACAACTTAAACCAAACATTTGGGAACAACTCCACACATTCTCAACAGTATATGGCATTACATGATGATGAAGTACCGGGGAATTCTAATTACGCGAGAGATGTATATGTCACATCAAGACACGAAACACATAGGGTACAAGTGGCCCATTGCCCCTACTGTTCTAGGTATACTACAAACGAAGTATCAAATCTTCAGGAAACATCAGTTCAGTTAAACAAAACCAAAGTTGAAACTAATTGCAATAATAATGATAAAAATACTGTCAAACGAGAACGAAATAAAAAGCGAAAGAAAGATCAATCAAAATCAAAACCACAGCAACATAAACGAAGTACAACTGAACAGTATATGATTGACAATGCAAAAGAAAATTTGCTTTAGATTCTATACCAATTCGTCAAAATGACTATAAAATGTTTATGAATTTTGTTCTCGACCTTGTTTCGAACGAATGTAATGTTGGCAAAGAAACGGTATTATCAATTACACACGAAGAATTCTGTGAAGCTCAAGAAATCAATACAAAGGAGAATGACACATTTTTTCTTGTGAAGACTGGAAAAACAAATCTTTTTATTGGAAAAGAAGTATACGAGGATTTAGCTGTTTACGGAAATATCGCACGACCAAAACTCTTGACATATCTGAAGGCAAAAAATATTGACTATGATAGTTCCGCTTCAGAAAGGTTTTTATTCATAACATTCAATGGGAAGCCACTCATGGAAGTATGTTTTGTTGAAGTATTCGTTTATGTTTATACTTTTAAATAATTTATTATCTGATTACTTTGCTCACTAATACCAATACTACTCCTACAAAATAGAATTGCACATACGTTGGGATGTAAAGTTTATTACTTTTTATAAATGTTTAATCTGATTAAATAATATTCACTGACTACCTATTATAATTTTCTTTTATGCAATAATTCATTAATTGTGAAGACCAGTTAGAAGTAAACTGATGAAACATAACGAATACTATACTATGCTCACATTGTTTTAATTTTTTTATTAAGAAGATTATTATTCGGAGTTCAAAAAGATACTTACTCCAGATGCATGTCGTTTCAGAATAAAGACGATAAAAATGTGAGCAATATTGATGCAAAAGAAAAGGCTACCGAGCAGAATATCCAAGTTAATCGTAAAAATGATCCTTTTGTTAGAGTATGCCCCGACATGAAAGAATCTGAAGAACACGTGAACATAACAACCACTCTTAAACAAAACCCTTCCGATCATCTGTGTGATTCTGAGCAGAGCATAAATAGAATCGGAAAAAACAACACAAGTATTGAAGATGAATTTTATCCGGGAGCAGCAATTACTGAACATGATAAAAAAGAACTAGACAACAAAGCAGGGAGCGGACAAGACACAATAAGAATAAAGGAAAAAGAGAACAAAAAAGAGGAAACCAATTATTTTGACTTGGATATAGAAAAGGAATTAGAAAAAATAAAAGAATCGTTCTTTCCGACAGGTGATGAATCATATGCTCTACCTGACGCAGACAATGTAGCTGAAGTGTTAAGCAAATTTGTGGATAAAGACTTGTATAATTCTCCTTAAGATAAGCTAAGGATAGCATATGGCTTTCTCGGATTGACTGTAAAGTTAATTATGCTTCGTTTTATCAATAGGATTACCGAATTTTTTTTCAAAGGCGGATGTACTGGTAACATGAAACTGTTTTTGTCTGTTTACAAAAAACTTACATTTTGAAAATTCTTTTTTCAAATCCAACTGATCATGTTCATTTTCGTATTAAATAAGGTTAATGATTATAAACTGTACTGTATAGTGTAATAACAGATTAGAATTAAAAACAGAAAGAGAAAATGTAATTCAAGTCGTTATTAGAATATTTTCTTTAATCGACAAAATTGCTTTACGAGTGTAAGTTCGATAACTTAACATAAACAAAATATACATGTGTATGAATCCATTAACAGAACAATATTAAACATTTCATATAAAAAGGTAGCATTTCGGAAATTTTGTCCTTGTAAAAAGAAACCGTGACACAATTAAAATAATAGATGCCTTTGTTTAAGTTTCCACATATGGACGTTAACCTTGTTGCTTACATCGTTTTATTTAAACACCATCCTATCTGTATTTTTATGCTCCCCGAAAAATTTCGGGGGAGCATATAGTCGTCGGGTTGTCCGTCCATCAGTCCGTCCGTACGTCCCGAATTCGTGTCCGGCCCATAACTTTGTTATTTGAAGTCTGATTTTAAAACTATTTCACAGAAATGATCACCATATTGAGACGACGTGTCGCGCGCAACATTTGGGTCGCTACCTTGAAGGTCAAGGTCACAGCATGACCTTGCAGCAAAATCGTGTCCGGTCCATAACTTCATTATTTGAAGTCAGATTTTAAAAATATTTCACAGAAATGATCACCATATTGAGACGACGTGTCGCGCGCAACATTTGGGTCGCTACCTTGAAGGTCAAGGTCACAGCATGACCTTGCAGCAAAATCGTGTCCGGCCCATTACTTTGTTATTTGAAGTCGGATTTTAAAACTTTTTCACAGAAATGATCACCATATTGAGACGACGTGTCGCGCACAACATTTGGGTCGCTACCTTGAAGGTTAAGGTCACAGCATGACCTTGCAGCAAAATCGTGTCCGGTCCATAACTTTGTTATTTGAAGTCGGATTTAAAAAATATTTCACAGAAATGATCACCATATTGAGACGATGTGTCGCGCACATTATGTGGGTCGCTTCCTTGAAGGTCAAGGTCACAGCATGACCTTGCAGCAAAATCGTGTCCGGCCCATAACTTCGCTATTTGAAGTTGGATTTAAAAAGTATTTCACAGAAATGATCATCATATTAAGATGACGTGTCATGCACAACATTTGGGTCGCTACCTTGAAGGTCAAGGTAACAGCATTGACCTTGCAGCAAAATCGTGTCCGGCCCATAACTTCCTTATTTGAAGTCAGATTTTTAAACTATTTCACAGAAATGATCACCATATTAAAATGGTGTGTCGCGCGCAACATTTGGCATGCTACCTTGAAGGTCAAGGTCACAGCATGACGTTGCAGCAAAATCATGTCCGGCGCATAACTTCGTTATTTGAAGTCGGATTTTACAACTATTTCACAAAAATGATCACCATATTGAGACAATGTGTCATGCACAATATTTGGGTTGTTTTTACACTTTGAACTTTGTCTGTGACATAACTCTGACACAACAAGAGGTATACCTTCCTGTGTCCAAAACCTATTCGGGGAGCATCACCCGGATCAACCGGCTCTTGTATTTTATTACTACATTAGCGGTGTTAATGCCTGAAAAGACTGTAAAGTTTGCCCTGTATATTCAATCACACATGTTTTATTCCTTAAGATCGCTCAAAACGAGTTTGAAATCATTTTAGTTCCTTCACTTTGTTCGCTTACTTGAAGTGTGGCTTAAGTATCAATTTTTTTTAAATACTGTTTAATCTCCCTTATGATATTTTGCTTGATTATTTTTTCTATTGACGGCTTTTACGTGACATTATTTCTTCGTTATATCTCCCTCCTTTCAAAATTCTATTTTATTTTCAATAGGTTAACCAATTGTTTTCTGGAATGCGCAAACATTTTTGTTAATTTTCTCTACTTGGGGGTCAAACGCGTGTTTGATTCAAGGTTCCATAAAAACTGCCTTATGACCACATCTGCGGATGTTGTTTTGTACCAAAATTTTATCATGTTCATGTTTAAATGTTGAATTTTGCTTTAGCCGGTGATAGGGAGCGTTGACGGTGTCTACCATTCAACACTTCGCCAAGGAACAGACACGGCTACATTTATTTTGCCGTAATGTTTTTCGTAATTTAAAAACGTGTGTACTTTTATTAGTTTTTCTTCTTCGTCATTCTATCGTAGTTTTTTTCTAAAGATTTTAAAGATCCTGTAACACATTTTTTCATGGTTTTATTTCATTAATATGATGCTCAAATTAAGATTTGTCAATATTGTAAGTTCCAATAAGCATTATTTATAAAGATATTACCAAATTTAACATTTCATGTAGATAAAGGGAGGTAATTAGAAATTTATTTTCTATAAATTCTATGTAAAATTTTCCAATAAGAAATGAATGCATATAATTTATTGATTAATTATAATGGGAACAAATATTTGCAGTACACATTTTACATATTCTTTGATGTTTGAAAATTGTTTTATTTGCATAATTATATACATATATAATTTTTTGCAAGTGTGGTATAAACATAGTAACAATATCAAGTACAAAACATACAGGATCTTTAAGCAATTCTAACCAAGGCACGATCTAGTCTAGTTCCCTGCCTACATTTACTACGGAAAGTAGCTATAACGTAGTATAAGGGGAAGGAACTCCAGACTAGGCATGATGTTCTTCTTACTATTGAAAATTTCCCCTATTCAATTGACTTGTGTAGTCCTGTAGAAACTCATATTAATTAAACACATTCTGCGCCAAACTAAATGAAGGGGAACAAATACATGAACAATGAACGACGGTCCATATGAGGGATCAGTTCAATACACGCGCAGTGGTAGAAAATTCCTATATTGAAAATACAGAACACATTCTGCTTTTGTAAACATGCAAATTCAAAATGACATTGTATTCATTTATGAATGTTCTCACAGTAATGTTATGGAGAAACAATTACCAGATTATATGAACAGATTATACATGTATATATATTTTCAGCATTCATGTGTCATATTATAATTAAACTTTTTGAATTTATTGATTTGGAAAAAAGAGAATCAACACACTTTTCTTCCTGCCTAGACAATTGTTTGTTTTATATTAAATAATATATTTTGTTTTACTGTACGACACTTTTTGGTCGCAATTAATAAGAGTTACAAGATTACTAAGCTTTGACAAAATAAGATCATATAAGTCATTATGTCTTTTGTAGAAAATTGGATTGATGATTCGGTTTGCTTGCAGAAACACTGACTTTGTAGATCTTTATTGTACAATTTCAGATCTTATAGTTTGTCTCTTTAGATTAATTTCAAATTAAGGGTTTATCAAAACATCGGCATGCTTCTGTCAATTTTATTTGTTTTAAAGACTACAAAATCATTGCATATGTCAAGTTGATTGTCTTACATATTTGATCTGAAAAACAAAAAAGTAAAGACATACAATAACTGGTGTACCAGGTTTGACAGTTTCACAAAATTTTGATTTTATAGAAGGTAGTCTTTATATATTTAATTTGTTTGTTAGCAAAAGATACATGTCTGTGCTTATTTAAATATTTTTACCTATTTCAAGCTGACGTCATTAATGTTGCAAACATTGTTCTTTCTCACAGAGACTCGATTTTTAAAGAAAGTATATGCCGTTCATGCCTGCTTTTTTGCATTGTTGCATTTTACTTTTCTTAAGTCAACGCATGTATTAATCAAACAGAAAATTCAGTCGACGTTAGTATATATAATCAACAACAAAAAAGCTCAAGTTTTACAACTTGAATGATACATTAAAACCAGTTTATTACCGGGAGACAAGCTAGCCCAAGGTTGTTGTGTCTGTAAAGAGAAAAAACATAATGATAAACAAGGAAAAGAAAAAGGTGGATATAAAACATTTCAATTATGTTGGGTTTTTTTGCAATACATTTGCGGTAAATAATTTGTTATTCATCATTGACTTATTTTTTTGAAATAACGCTTTCTTGCTTTTATTGTTTTACCTTATGTCATGCTGTTGATGTTGTAAGTTACTGTTATTAATAACGGTGATTTATTTAATGGATCGACCATTTACAAATGAAAAACGTAAACATAATTCATGATAAGTATATTTATGCATTTATATCAAGAAAGGTCAATGATATTCTAAGTACGTGTCTTTTCATGAAAGTGTTATATTGAATGGAATATGACGATGACCTTTACGGTTTTCATTTTTACTTCTTTTATAATGATCTATGTTTTTTTTATTTTACTTAGATTGTCCCCTTATGAAATCATTAGATTTAGTTGATACTGAAAAGCTTTATATTAAAGACCATGTTACTCAATTTTTTATGGTTTTATATCATAAATATAATGCTCAAATGAAGATTTATCACTATTGTAAGTTCCAAAAAGCATTATTTGTAAAGATATTACCGAATTTACATTTCATGTTAATAAAGGAGGTAATTAGAAATACATTTTCTATAAAGTAATTTTTTTTCAGTAAGAAATGAATGCATATATGTTTATTATTACACATAATGTGGACAAATATTTGCAGTAAATATTTTACATATTCTTCGATATTTGAGAATTGTGTTAGAAACATAATTTTATACATATATACATATACTTACAATCACATTTTTACGTTTTAGTAAACTAACTTTTATGGCAGACTAAAGTACCTTTGTTAATTAATTTTAGTTTACTCTGATTAAAGTTAGACCCATATTTAAACTATTTTTCAGATAACAGGGCATTTTGTCATATTATTGAGTTGTCAAGGTTTTATAAGACTTTTATGTAGATTTTATTAACTGATCAGCAAGGGTATTTTAGCTTTTAACTGTTGATATTTAGATAATGTATATAACTAAGTGGTGTATTCAAGAAAATCTCATATACATATAGTTATACTTGGATTTATTCAGATGGACAATGAACTGATTTATATGTTTATTAATATTTGTCAATGTCGGGTATACTTTGAAAAGATTTCATTAGGAAATAAATTTATGAGTTATCTCTTAGATGTTAGGAAAAAGCTGCTAATCAGTTCCAGAATTATCTCCTTTTTTGACATTTAGGTACCATATTTGCTTAATGATTGAGCATTATTTAGCCAATAAATACCTATATTGATTATATAGATAGAATTTAACAGTTTATTTTCAAAAAAGATATTGAAAGATACATACATAATGTTTAAAGTAGAAAAAAAAGAAAAGTTGATCGTTGTGGGGTTTAAACTCGAGGCCCTAAGTTTCAATGCAGTTTACAGTAATTCTAGCTTATTTGAATACTCTTCATAGCGGAGGTAAACATAAGGATGGTCATACTCAAATGATTGTATTAAAACGTGATTGCAATATAGTGATATCATTAGATTTATTATGCAAGTATAATTTCTAAATCCTTCACATGTTGAAACCGAAAAGGATTAACCTTTGTCAGCAGTATAGAACCAGGCTAGCTTGTAAATCCAACCTCTACACTGTTGACCGGCTAAATTTAAGTTTTACCTTGAGATCCCTAAAATTGATACTGGACAGTTCCAAAAACGGAATTTAGACAAGTCCATTTAAGAAATTTAGCTAGTTAATAACTGATTAGAATCAAACCTGGTATGAAGTGTTCTGTTGTAGTATCTGTAAAAGAGAACAAGGACTTCTTAAACACAGTGTCGAAGTACAGAATATTCACGAAACCAGAAACGTTCTCTTTTTTTCTAATTCATAGAATTGTATCAAAATAGTTTCTATTGTATTTGAAACAGACAATAAAGTCTTTTTTTACAATTAAATTTTGCATAAATTTGTATTTATTTTAAACATTATTTTTTAAGAGATACAAACGATACTAACGATACTTTGTTTAAAAAATGAGTACCTGGTATGAAATGTTCCGTAGTTGTAGTCTCTGAAAATATATTGATAGCAAATTTGGTATAATCATCTAAATATTTTAAAGATATACTTTGCCCAAATTTTATATTAGAAAATATTGATATTTGCTATATACCTTTTGTAAATATATAATAAACATATTTTGACTCCACACAAAGTAGAAATTTGTAATTTATAGTCTATTCACTATAGGTGGCCACAATATGAATATATAGTGTATTTCAAAAAATACTAACAATATTTGATCTATACTAGTATACTAGGAAACTAAGCTACCCATACACAGTTTATTCATTCTTTTATTCAAATAAGACATATTCAGTAGGAATTCCATAGATTTTAATAACTTTCTGCAATTAAAATATTTTAAACAAGGATGGGCATAGTATATCTTTAACTATTACAGTAACTACCGATTTGAAAGACAATTTAAAGAACAGTGATTCTGTTTTATTATGATTACGAACAATTTATAGAAGAAGAAAACAGTATCGGATGAAATTTAAAAAAAAAATGTTTCTTTTTAAATCATATCACAACAATAAAACACTATATCACTATGTGTTTTCGTATATCCGCCAAAAACAAAAGACAGACTATCTTGATAAAAGTCAAATATCAAAATATCTTTTAAAAGTCATATCTAGAAGATGATGAATGTGTGTCAGAACGTAAAGTTACAACTGGGCAAATTTTGTCGGAGAGAGCGTTTCTTGATTCATAGAACACATAAATGTATAACTTACTCAAGGTCGTTGGAGTAGTTGTTGGCATTGGTGTAGTCGTTGTTGTCGTTACCTCTGTACAATGAAAAATAAGGGACAAAATGTGAATTTCAGGAAAAGAGAAATAATGGTACAGAAAAACGATTTGCTTTTTAATTAAATGGTTCTCTTTGAAAACATGTACCAGATCGTGATAAATCAATAAAATTTTCAAGTGTGCATAGTACATTTTAATGGATGTTAATACCTCTCTCCATCACAAAGCAATCATATTCCACTTTGTTCGTTCTATAAACTTAACCGCTCATGACAATATAATTACCAACCACATAATCATATAAGGTAAGACGTCAATTTAGCCACATGTCTAATTTCAATATATATCGAACGATTGTGAAAAATTCATTGTTTATCTAATACACCAAAAAGCTCACATTAATCCGAGGAATAAGCGATAATAGAATCTACAACGTTCATTGGACTGGCAAAACAAAAAGTGTCCGAACCACTCTGAAGTATGAAAATTTCTTTTCTAGTCACAGAATGCAAGATAACCAAAAAAGTAGAAAGGTAAAAAAATTAAAGCTGAGAAAATTCATTGGAAATATTAAAGCATACCTTCACAACCTGCCTTTTTAATATCCGTACGGACAGTCTTCAGAGCATCAAATGACGAGACTGTAAACACATGGTCTGAGTCTGACCCCATGCTATTCAACTCATTTGAATTTATATTACAGCCAATACCAACTGCAAGAATTTCAATGTGTTGGTTCTTTAGCAAGTTAGCTTCCTGTAGCGTCAAGTTTGCATTTGATGACACCCCGTCCTTCAAAATAATCATGTAGTTTTAGCATCGTCTCTGGCGCCATGGAGTGAACATATTCTCTCGTGTATACTTGAGTGCTTGATCTGTGTTTGTTACTCCGGTAAGGTACCCTGTTTTTCTGAATAGCACTAAGAAAAGAAGCTTTGTCTGTGTATTGGTTCATATAAAACTCAAGGTTTGGATAGTCCGAGAAGGTAAGCATGCCGATTTGGACGTGATTTGGTCCGATCTGAAAGTAATTGGCCACGCGTGAGACAAAGTCGAGTTGTTTTTGGAAGTTCAATGCTCCTTCGCTTGAAGACGCGTCTAGCACAAATACGGTGTCTGCTTTGGAAATGAAGCCACATGCTGAAAACATACATGATATGATTCCTACCATGAAGACAATTCCGAACTGTATCGAAAAACCGGAGTATAAATTGAAAGGGGAATAGACATGCCATCGTAAAATATTTATATTTCATGGATTTATCAAATTAGAAATAAATAACAAAATACAAATAGTGTCTTTGAATATAAATCTTTATTTAAGTGTATACATTGTACAAAGTGCTGGGAAAAATTGCTAAATACAAATTTTCAGAAATAGATTGTATACACAAACCAAGAGTTGTATCATTTCCTGCATGTTTAAACCCGTTTATATTGGATACAGCTAATTAACATAATTATGTAACTTACTTAAAGAAATATGAAGAAAACTAAAATACAAAGATGCATCCAAAACGAATATAATATCGGTCGGATGATTCCCACATTCTATGGTGTTGTACCTGTAACAACGGTATCAGAGAAGCCTTTATATGTTACTGTTTATTAAATGTTGTTTAACAAATCACCTTTCAAATAAATGGTTAATTTAAATTTAAATTTATACTATTTTTTTCTTTTGTTGACTTTTGATTTGATGTTAACATTTTCAAAGAAATGATATGAAGCGAATCTTCGGCGAGCTTAATAACATTTTTCATGGATGAGTTTCATAAAAATGGTATATCAAATGACAACGAATGTCAGATGACTAAAAGTAACCGAAACAGTTCGCTTACAACCTTGTTTTAATTTGTAAACATACGCTTCTCATTGAACAAAAGTGTCTTTATATTACAGGTGTAAAATAAAGGAGTACGTTACAAGTATATTAAATTAAAAACAAAAGAAGTCATATAATGAAATTATTTCTAAAAGTAAGCAATTATTTGCGTACATCTTTCATATAATTGATTATAGATGGGTATCGATGTATTTTCGATCATATATAGAAATATAAAACATGTTTTCTCAATGTAAATGGATTATTTTTTTTCTTTTAAAGGACAAGAAAGAAAAATAAATCGTGTGTTTTAGTTGTCTTGGCAAATAATATAAAGATATTTCTTATCTATTTCACTAATGTTCATACTTACAGGCGGCCGATTCTAATTCCTTTGGAATTGTTGCAAGAGAGTGGAAATCATTATCTTTAAACACATGGTTGGCATAAAAAATATCTTAAAGTTCTGTTGTTGACACTGATGACCTTATACCGACAGATATAAGCTTGGATATACTTTACATGCGCTTAATAGTGAATTTAAGTAAGAAGTCAGTCAAAAAGAATACTATATTGTTTGAAATTGCCTGATATTGTAACATTACATAACTATAAGGAATATATAATACTCGATACCAACATTTCCTGCTAATTTGAATACTAACAAATTATATTGTAGGAAAAGGGGCAAATTAAGACATGGCTATCCGAGCCATTTCAAATGAAAACTTGTTCAATGTGATTTTAAATAATTTACTTTTTTCGAACCAAACAAATCTTATTTTAACTTTTGTGTCTGAAAATGGTGATAACCATTGCACTAAATATTACACATAATTAGGGAAATATTTACACATTTTGACCTATTTGGTAATTAACGTCGACTCCAAAAGTCGTTTGCAATTTGTACATTACTTAACACATAACATAACATTACAATATTTTACTTTTAAATGTGTTTTCAAAATTTCTTTATGAAAATAAGCATGAATTTGAAGGCATGCTACTGCAATGTATTTCGTTTCCAATAAATACGGATTTTAAATGAAAATACTAGTACGGCTCAATACTTTATAACTGGTTGAAATCGAATCAAAATAAAACTATTAAACGTCATTATGAAAATTTAAATGTATTGTTGCAAAGGACCCGACGTTTCTTAAGTGACTTAAACAAAAGAGCATTAAATTTGTAGAAAAAGCAGTAAAGGACACTGCCAACAATCATTATATTTGATGAGTTAAATCTTACGGGTTTACTTCTTTAGAGTAATTGAGGTTTGGATGGAACTGAGGCAAAATTTTTCTTTGAGATGCCCCTATCTCTTAAAAACATTGAGATGTTCTAAGTGCGCATAATGCTTTATGAGGGTCTTGATTATGTCGAGCATTTGAAAATACTATTTTACTTCGTTCTTGTTGGTGGCCCTCAGAAAAAAAACGTTTAATTAAGACGCATTAGAAGCCCTTTTCTCGTCGAAATCTTATGGATGATAAATGGATGGCCTGTTTGTTAAAATGTGTTGTAAGGACACCAAATATATCTTTACTTGCGGAAAGTTTGAAAATGAAGTCTTTAGTAAATATTGCCCTGAAAGAATTGACAACCTTAGAGAAAATGTTGATTACAATGCAATACTAAGGAATCCTGCGCCATCAACCTTAGGGAATCCATAATAAAAAAGGCAACGGTCAGCGACGGATGCCGCATTCACATCCCCGACTATTTCTAGTCATGCAAAATTTAATAGTGAATATTACTTAAAACAAGAAAGAAACATACTTAATTGATAAAGGGTTAGCAAAAAACTCAGCAAATGTGTTCAAACGGTGATTATGATGGAAGCTTTCATTCTAAATGTTAGAGACATTCAATGAACTATCAGACAGCGTGAACTCAATACGCAAAACAGGTATGTAATAAAAACAGAACACCACCTTGAATCTTGGCTAATGAATGATATTCGATTGCTGTTCTTACGTTAGGCAAATAAACTTAAACATAGAAATGATTTTGCTAAGAGAATGTTAAATCTTTACAGTTTGCTCCAATTTAAACTGTTTAAGAGAGAAACAGCCACTAAAATCTAGTTGCACAATTTTAAGGACTTTAAATGGGAACGTGGCACTTAATTGAGGGCGACGATGTCATTTCAGGAGAACAGATAAATATCATATTTCAAACTGAATAGTCAATGTATCAATCTACATTACTATTGTTTAGTTGCTTTGTATTCTTTCTTGTCATGAATAAAATGTGTAAATAGTAAGAGATTTAACAAATTAATTCAGTAACTCGAAACAATCGGCAAAATTGTATAATTTTTTTTTTCAAAACAGAATGCTTCAACCAACTTTTAATTTAACATATACATGTCTGATATGGCAGTTTATCACTATGATTTGCTAATTTTGTCATGTTTATTTTTAGATAGAATAATGACAGGTATTTAAAGGTCTTTCAGGTCATCAGACTGAAAATAAAGTTGTTGAAAATAGCGACATTTACAATTAAACTGTCGAAGTCAGTTTATGACCGGCAGAGTCTTGAACCTGGAGATCTTCGTCGGAACCCATCGGAGTTTTAACATATTAGGTATTCAATGTATCATGAATGTTATGCTTATTTTATGTTCATTATTGACTATATAAAGGGTATAAAATTAAAGACTTTAGAGTGAGAGAAAATTACATGTAAGGTTTACATATTGTCCGTAAAATAAAGATAAAAAAATGATTAGTTAAACAGAGAAAGTGGCTGAAGTTTTTTTTTTTGTTTTACTTTAAATTTACCAAATTCCAATGTGGCAATGTGAAAATTGAAATCTACAGTCAAAGTTTGAAAGAAATAAAGATATGCTTCAAAAGCTACAATTAAAAATAAACATATTCTTTCGTTTGACGTAAGTTACGTAGAGGATATTTAATTTGTTTAGTTCAGTGTAAGATCGGAATATATTTCACCGAGTGAGCACCAAAAGGTATATTTCACGAGTGGCGCAGCCACATGTGAAATATGAAGTTTTTATGTTCACGAGGTGAAATATATACCGATCTTACACTTAACTAACAAATTTTCTGTTTATTATAATTATGCAAAGAAACGTTTAAAAAGACATTTTAAATAACCTAATACTCAATAAAAAGCGCGCCAAATAATAATACAACATAACGTCATTTACGACGTCACGTAATTAGTACTGTGCACGCTGGCATTTCACTACACCGAAACGAGCTTAAATTCAAGTAGTGAAAAATATCAAATTGATGTATTCACTGTTCCAAACAGTGAAATATCAGTTTTATATTTCATTGATATATTTCTATAAACCACCGAAAAGCATGTAATAGATAATGTGAATACATTCATTGAAAGGATAAAATTTATTACAACATTTTTTACATAAGAAATCTTCAATCAATTGAATAGAAATCTTCAATCAATTATCGACTTATCATTGAGTGCCTTGTATGTTTTAGGCTTCTTTTGTTCACATAGCTATTGCGACGAGTTTAAAATTGTACAAAAACCGATGAATGCGTATATATTGATCGGAATCATTTAAGGCTATAATATTTTTGGTGTAGATATGAAGTAATTATATCTTCAACAGAAAATATTATTATATTGATTATTTTTCACAATTCTTATTCAAGTCTATTTAGAAATATTTACTTTGTATAAGTTTCAAAAGTTTAAATGCGTACCAATGTAAATTTTATAATTTCTAAAAGAGTTTTTCTTTCAAAATAAAACTTTTTATCATTTTTAATTCTCGCATATAACTAGGAGAGCGTCAAATGGTAAATGGAGTTGTGAGTTGAAAAGCTTTTTAAGGGATTAAAATTGACTGGCGTGAACATATATCTTTAAAAGGCTTTCTTCAAAGAATAAGGTTAGTTATGTTATCATTTCTTTTGTATACGTATCATACTTCTAATATATCAAATAGTTGAAAATGAATATTAGAAAATAATCTCCAAA